AACAACCTTTTTTTTTTTTTTTTTTTTTGAGAAGTTGTCGCTTTATATTTCAAAACAAGAGTGGTCGAGGCCAGGACCTCACAATTCTACCCGGTGTTGCAAAAAAGCCTGCTGAAAACCGGGTCCAGCATCCCAAGACCACTAAGCCTCAAAAGGAAGAAGAACTCCTCAAAATAGCCATGAAGCACAGAAAAGGATGGTTGAACTAATCGTAGCAGCTACACTCCACTCCTTCAGCCAATCACAAGAAAGCGCCGGCATGTTTCTAGGATCGAAACACTATTGAAAAAGAACAACGAGCTCTAATCTGCAAATCTCGAAAAGGTACAAGGCAATTCGCGAAGATTACACAGTTTAACCCTAAAATAAGGGTTCTCGGCGTTCGCGACGGGCCGAACGCCCGAACCCGAGCGCCCAAACGTACGGGACCCCTTCGGAAGGTGTTCGGCTGTTCGGGCTGAAAGGGTATTATGAGACAAAAATGCATTCAAGAATACGTAACCACACACATTCGTGATTAACTTGAGCATGCAAGCACGGGTCGTGAACAAGACACGAGAACGTGACAAGACACGAGACGCGAACAGGACACAAGTGAATCCAAGAATGATCGGATTTTCCATTAAACTCGCCACCTGACTTCCGACAACCCCAAGGTTCCACCAACGCGACCGTCAAACCCAGCTTCCGCTAATGGTAGAACCATTAGCGAAAGAAAGAGGATTAACGCTACTCAACCATTCTATTTATGTGACCACCTCCCGACAACTCCCCAGATTGGGGTACTGAGCCAACACCAAAACCACACATAGGCCCTTGGCTCGAGGACCGATACCAGGCCAAAACCACTCCACTCAAAACCTACGTCCCGGGCCCAAAGGGAACAAACGAAGGAATCAAATTATGACACAGACCAGGCCGGGTTCGAGCCCGCGGCCTACCCCATCCCAATTATAGAACTCACTTACCAAGAAGTCCCTGGCTCACACACTGACACAAATCCTACCGGTACCCTGTCAAATCAGAGAACAGTCCGGATTCAAGCTCACGACTCAAATTATGACACAGACCAGGCCGGGTTCGNCTAACCCATCCCAGTTATCTACGTAGAACTCCCTTACCGAGAAGTCCCTGGCTCACGCACTGACACAAATCCTACCGGTACCCTGTCAAATCAGAAAACAGTCCGGATTCAAGCTCGCAACCTGCCCCATCCCCCCAATCTCAGTAATCCGAGTATCCAAGTTCAAACGCAGGGAAAAACAAAGGCACTCAAACCCTTCCACTATCCTATTCGACCAAGCTGCTCAGGCGATCCTTGCAAGATAGAACCATCAGAGCACCACTCCTGTCTTGTTATAGCGGGTCAGACAGTTGTAATCAACTCATAGGTCCATGGCCAAGGTTTGTCCCTGCCATGGGCAAACCCTTTCAAGACTCGGTCAAAGAATTTTGTCGGGAAATCCTTCATGAGCATTTCTCTTTTCAAAGTAACCACTCTTCATAGGATTTCAGAGCGGACCGCTGTGTTCCTGTCAATACGATGCAAATAATTGTTTATCACAGCATTTTTCTGGCTTTTACTCCCCCATGAGCTGAATGACTGTCCGTTCTGAAATTCAAGTGACTCTGATTTCCATATGGTAGCCTCGTTCTTCGACAACTATACACACTCAACATATGGATATTGATCGTTTACTCGGACCTCACATCCCAGAAAATCCCACACGTTTCCCCCGTTATCTATCCGTTTTAAAGTCAGATTAGAGGGATACGTGTGCTCAAACGCATCCAAGATCTCCTTTCGCATCGTACTTCCATTTCCAAACACAAGCACTCCCACGTCATCAATCAACCGAATCCCGTAGACATTCCTACGTCCTTCTCCCAAATGCTGCAAGAAATCAAACTCAGCTTTTACACACATGATACAGGCAAGAGGTGGACTCGTGCTTTTCCCCATCGGGATGCCCACTTCTTGTTTTACCAGAATGTTCAGAGTCATCGTGTACGTATGTGAGAGTTCGAATTCAACGAAACGGAAGATATCGTCAAATTTTAATTTCCTCCAGTGGTCATATCCCGTTGTCTTACCGAAGGTTGCTCCACGTCCTCGGGTATTAACTCAGACAAAACTCCTCCCCTTTCCGTCATGATACTCTACCAACCATTTGACTGCTTGCACAATCTCCCCGTGGGGCAACAGACTGAACATATCCTTAACATCGTATGATCTAGACTCGACCATCTCCAGGGCCGTTCTACAAATGCGACGGTTCCCTTCCTCAATCTTCTTTGTCAATTGTGAAACATCCTTCAGGTTAAAGTGCCAATCTGCCGGGATTGTGCAAAGTAGGTGGTTAAGTGCTTTCGCCACTGCCTTACTCGTTTTTGCAGTGGGTTCCTGGAAGGATGGACAAATCGGTCGAAACCGATTTGGATCCTTGTGCTTAGGCAAAGCATAAGCATGTCCAAAAGTGCCCTTCTTATCCCATCTTGCAAAATCTTCCACTTTACTGATACTCAGATCCTTCTTCATCTCCAATAGGATATCATTGGCGTGGCTGTCGACAACAGAATAGCCCTCACTCCTAATGAACAGGTTCATCATTCCCTCGTAATACATTCGTGGGCACATGACCATTGTCACGCCCGGATTCCGATCCAATGGGGTTAGCACCAAACCTTCTAGTTTCTTCCCCCATTCGTGAACCACCTCCTGCCCCGGACATTTACTGGGTTCTGGTCGATCCTGTAAGCATGCAACGAGCTCACTCATAGAGCAACTCACCTTCTGGCTCTTGCCATTCGGCCAACTTGCGAAAGCCACTTCCACTTCCTGTTTCAGAATGAGTAACCTGTCATTCCGTGGCGGTTTCGGAACGTTTTTTGCGTTGCACAACAACGCAGACACTCCTTCAATCTCATGTAGTCGAAACTGCACGTGACCTCTTACCCGAGGGTAAGGTAAGCCTACATAGGTGCAGGCAGACACATCAGCACGGGCAAATCTGCGCTGATTATGCAATAAATCCGCAACACTCGGATTCTTTGTCCAAATGATACGGATCTTTGATCGTGCTCGTTTCTTAACACAAGGCGGAAGGCACAAACCCCCTAGCTTGTCATCTACCAGTTTCCGAACTTCGGCTAACTTAAAGCGGTCGTCAAACAGCAAGCGCACAACGAGGTGTGCTGACAAATTAAAACCAAATCCATCACGTATACAACGAGAAATCAGGCGCCTCAAATACGTTCCTGTAGACTTACGCTCAAAATCTTTAACGGATGAGAATAATTCAGCCAGAGAGTGTAAGTCCCATTTTTTAAGAGACTCATATCTCTTTGGATTTTTTAACAAGGACACTAAGAAGGGCTTATTAATACCTGTCCTTGGTTTCCAACGTCTTAAGTACGTAATCTTCAGAGTGCATCCCAACTCATAGTTGACCTTAAAATCTTTGAAAACGCCAAGCTTCCCGTTGACCACTACTGATGAAGATCCGAAAGCTTTCCGCAGTCCACGCCATCGATCACTCCAACAATTACCCCCACTGAACTCAATACTGAAATCCCGACAACCTCCAGCATCCTGCCGCTTCAACAAATCAAACACCTATACTGTCCAAGTGCTTTCATTCGTTAGTCTACAACGTATGGGTTGAAAGCTCCGTGGTTCCGTGACTATTGGTAACCCATCCCTTCGCGCTCTTTCCTTCTTACCCTTCCTCCTGTTTCTCGTCCTTGTCCTAACCCCACACCCGACAATATTCAGATGTGTACACCATCTCCTAATATACAGCGTTTCAGTAGTTAGGAGGTCTACTTCCTCACACACCTCTATCGGGATTAGTACATACGTTTCGATCCCAAATCTCAGCCACCATCGATACAGGTGTGTTGACTTCCCTTTCCTTTTCCAAACAGACACGTGCTCCTTCCATCGGGTGTAAGGTTCCCTAGCGGTCTTTCCGATATACTGCGGTCTACATTTGGTTGACGTGACGACATAAACGCAGTAAGGGTGTGTCAGAAAATCAAGTCCGAAACTAGAAAACAGCGCGAGCCAAGCATCGATATATTTGCATAGCCATCGGCAAAACCCTCGAAGGGCAAGATACAGTACAAGCAATCGGAAAACATACTCTACATCAAGGTCAGTACAGCCATGCGAGCGACGAAAGGCAATCAACACCTCATCAATACCCAACTATTGTTCATCGGCAAGCCCTCGTCACTGAGAACCGTCATCCGAGTTCTCGTGGCTCACCTTGCCGTCATGATCATCTTCCAATTCCGGTGGGTCAGTACCTGATTGCCCCGATCCGAACCTTGCTCGTGCCCTTGCATCGGCAAGATCGAAGATGACTTGCACCTTCGTGGTATACGTAACCCCTTCAAGACGACAAAATTCCTTCAGCTGGTCGCAGTCAGCAGTAGCCAGCATTCGCCGTGTTTGATCCAAAAACATTAACCGCTCCATCACCAGGTTCCGGACAGGCGGCTTGATCGTGGTTATGGCCTTGGCAGGTGTAGCACGCACCAGTCTTCGATTAGTCCGTGTACGTGTCCGCTATGGACGCTCGGAGAAACGCAGATGTCGGATCCCTGATCTCTAGTTAGTCTTCTTTGCAGGTGTGGCAACTGGCGGACTGTCTCCCACTGTAGTATCTTCGCCCCGCTTCCTTTTTTCTGCGATGGCCAGATTCTCCGTAGCGGTTGTGATCGCCTCGACCTCGTTTGGCTCGTTTGTCGTTCTCGAAGAGGAAGGTAACTCTATTTTCTCCTTCCCTTTCTCGACAACTTTTCGAACTTCATTTTTTATGTCCTCATGGATCTTGCTCAGTCGTACCGCCAGCTGCATTTCAACCGCTTTGGTCATTGCCAATTGCTCCTCCTCACGTTTCCTTTGCTTATCTAACTTCCTCATGCAACGAGCCTCCTCCGCCAGGCGCTCCTCCTCCTCCCGTTGACGTGCTTCCATCTCCCGTTTCTTAATCTCCTCCTTAGCCAGTCTTTTCCTTTCCTTCTCCTCACGCCTCACCTTCTCGAGGTCAATGAATTCCTTTAGGCTTGCGACACTCTCGCCTAGTTCCTCCAATTTCGAAGTAGTCTTCGAGTCTGCCGACGGTGAGCGGTATACAGTTGCTCCATAATTTCTTCTTGGCGATGCCGAGCGACCACGTCTCTCGAACTCTGGAGGGCAGACATAGCCATCCCGCTCCGCTTGACTCCTGGTACCAGCATCAGCCCAAAATCTTCAACAGTCGCATCTGTAGTGACCAGGTACCTTACAACCAAAGCAAACTGGAGGCAGTCTCCGTACGGGCTCGGAGAACTCCGGTCGCCGCTCACGCGCCTCACGCTCATGCGTCCGATGGCGGTCGCCATTATCTCGACCGCGTCTTCCTTCATCGTTGTACCGATCACGTCGGTCACCCCAGTCTTGCGGGCGATCCCCGCCACCCATACCAACCCGTTACTTCAACGGGTGGTAACACTGTCTCCAAAATCGTTACCAGCCAACACTTCAACTCCGGTCTTCAAAATCACCAGCATCACACCACTTGGTCAAACGAACGAAGGCTATATCTCCTCTTGATAGTATCCTGTCACTTATGGTTAAAACGTGCTCACTCACTCCGGGCAAAGATCCCGGGCAGGTTCACACGCGCTATAGCAGGTATTATGAGACAAAAATGCATTCAAGAATACGTAACCACACACATTCGTGATTAACTTGACCATGCAAGCACGGGTCGTGAACAAGACATGAGAACGTGACAAGACACGAGACGCGAACAGGACACAAGTGAATCCGAGAATGATAAGATTTTGCATTAAACTTGCGACCTGACTTTCGACAACCCCAAGGTTCCACCAACACGACCGTCAAACCCAGCTTCCGCTAATGGTAGAACCATTAGCGAAAGAAAGAGGATTAACGCTACTCAACCATTCTATTTATGTGACCACCTCCCGACAACTCCCCAGATTGGGGTACTGAGCCAACACCAAAACCACACATAGGCCCTTGGCTCTAGGACCGATACCAGGCCAAAACCACTCCACTCAAAACCTACGTCCCGGGCCCAAAGGGAACAAATGAAGGAATCAAATAATGACTCACACCAGGCCGGGTTCACGCCCGCGGCCTACCCCATCCCAGTTATAGAACTCACTTACCGAGAAGTCCCTGGCTCACACACTGACACAAATCCTAACGATACCCTGTCAAATCAGAGAACAGTCCGGATTCAAGCTCGCGACTCAAATTATGACACAGAACAGACCGATTTCGAGCCCATGGCCTAACCCATCCCAGTTATCCACATAGTACTCCCTTACCGAGAAGTCCCTGGCTCACGCACTGACACAAATCCTACCGGTACCCTGTCAAATCAGAGAACAGTCCGGATTCAAGCTCGCGACCTGCCCCATCCCCCTAATCTCAGTAATCCGAGTATCCAAGTTCAAACGCAGGGAAAAACAAAGGCACTCAAATCCTTCCACTATCCTATTCGACTAAACTGCTCAGGCGATGTTTGCAAGATAGAACCATCAGATCACCACTCCTGTCCTGTTATAGCCGGTCAGACAGTTGTAATCAACTCACAGGTCCATTGCCAAGGTTCGTCCCTGCCATGGGCAAACCCTTTCAAGACTCGGTCAAAGAATTTTGCCGGGAAATCCTTCATGCGCATTTCTCTTTTCAAAGTAACCACTCTTCGTGGGATTTCAGAGCGGACCATTGTGTTCCTGTCAATACGATGCAAATAACTGTTTATCACAACACTTTTCTGTTTATCACCGAACGGGGACCGAAAAAAAAAAAAAAAAAAAAGCATTTTCACAAAATTCCAAAAAAAACATATGTTATGGAGAAAAAAACACTAAACAACATTTGCCCGGGCACTACAACCGAATTCTTTACCAACTTTGAATTAAAAATCAAATACAGAAAATAAACACTATGATAAAAATAAGAAAAAATAAAAAGAGAACTAAAATGAGTGAGTGTGCCAACACCTTTTCGGCATCGCCATCTTTGCCGATTTTTAATTATTTTTTGGCATCGACAAATGCCCTGAAAATTTACAGATATTTAGTTTACATAATGAATAACTTATTTATTGTTTTTTTTTTAAATAATTTTTTTTTTTTGGCCCCGAAATAAAGTGAAAACAAAATGTTAAAAGTGAAAAAAAACAAAATAGTGAGTGGGCGAGCACGTTTTGACACCCCCATCTTTGACGATTTTTAATGTTGTTTTGGCTGAGCAGAATGACTTCAAAATATATAGGCGTGTAGGTTACATCATAAAGAACTCACCAAAAAAACTTCAGAAAAAAAAGCGTATGTTCAGGCCCCGAAAGTTTTTTTGGCGGGGGCCGAACCTGGAGGTGTTCAGCCCCCGAATGAGACCCCGAACGCCCGAACGTTCGGGGGCCAGCCCGGGGGGCCCCGAACATTCGGTTAGGTAACCCTGCCTAAAATTATTTCCAAAAGCAAACCTTTTTTTTTTTTTTTTTTTTTTTTTTTTTTTGGGAACAAAGCTCCAATCTATTCGTGGGGAGCAACACGTGCTGGGAACCGGGCCCAGCATCCCATATGGAAATTTATACAGAAATTTTTGATTTAAGATACCGGGGCCATTACCCGGCTATGGCTAGGAAAAATTAGAACTACTGAAGAAGATTACTACATCAAGCTACACGCCATCAACCCTCTGTACCTCCCTCCGTCAAGACTTACTGCAGCAGAGTCACCATCTCCACTGCTGCTGTACCGTAATTCCATCATACTAGATAGCCCTCCTCACTAATAGGACGCTTGATATCCCACCATCTACTCGTCCCACTCACCTCAATTTAAGAAAATTGAGAAAATTCAAGAAATTTAAAAAGAAATGGAGAAGCGAAAATCAGAGCTAAAACCACCAAGTCAAACCCTCACTACAGATGAGAGACCGCCACTCAAGCCTTCAGTCCTCGTACCAGAAGTCGCCAGTTCTCACACCCCCGTTGCTAGGGGTACAAGGCAACACAAACTGCCCCAGCACCGAACTAACTATCTTCTGACGGACAGGAAGTGTCTTCCTCCCTCGACAACTTCCTTAGCTGCCAACCCGCTACCGGGTTACAGGGTCACTGCCCCAGCCTCAGCTATGTTGAAAGAGGTGGTCATGCCTTCCACCCTCGACATAGCTCCAATGGCCTCAAGCTCCTCTCCATGGTCACAGAGTCACTGCCCCAGCACCGGCCACTGTCGCCCCACCCCTTCCTTCTAGTAGACTTACCATCCTGAATCACTGTTCCCCTACTGCGTGAGCCCACCCAAAATTACTTTCAACCTTGCTTCCAATTTTCTCTCTCCATATGAAAAAACAAAAAGGAGGAAGGACAAGAATTAGAACCACTAACAGTCAAAACTCCTACCCTCACCACTGATGAAGGATACGTCGACCAAGCTTTCAGTCCTCGTACCAGAAATCGTTAGATCTCATACCCCCCAGCTAGGGTTACAAGGCTACACGAACTGCCCCAATACTGATCTTACTGTTTCTGACGGACAGAGAGTGCCTTCCCCCCTCGACCCCTCTCTTAATTGTATAGCCCCTCAAAAGGTTACAGGGTCACCGCCCCGGCAACAACTACGTCGGGCGAGATGGTTATGACTTCCACCCTCGGCATAACTTCAATGGCCTCAAGCCCCCCTTGGTCACAGAGCAAATACTCCAGCACTGGCCAATGTCGTCCCACCCCACCCTCCTAGTTAGACTTGCCACTTTATGTCACCGATCCTTCTGCCCCCCACTTCCCACTTACCTCTAATTCGACCCTCCCCCTTTTGATTACGAAAACATACTAAGACTAATTATTTGAAAGGAAACTATTTAAAATGATCACTTGAAAAATCAATCAGAATAAGCCTGAGATTTGAGAATAAGATCTGATAGGGTTTGATTCTCCAAAGAATGTCAAAATTTGCGAAAAATTGTACGAAATTTAGGTTCAGGTATCCATAAAGGATTTTCGAATCAGATTCTGAAACCGTGGTTTGATAAACATTCAGCAAAGCTATATGGCACGAAAGAATAAGGAAGGAAAATTATAAAAACAAATCGACAATCGCTAAGAAGAGATTCACTCAGATAGTAAACAGGAATTGTTCATCCGACGACAGAACAACAGGAAGGACAGTAATCAGAAGAACAAATCAACAATCAATTTGAGAAAGAGAATCACTCAGACAATAAAAAGAAAAAACGTGTAAGAATCAGAAATTAAGATTTTCATCAATCAGAATTATCACCTGCCCATATGATCAGCGAGAGGGTCTATCCTAAGAAGAGCCAAGCTCATACTGAAGATGCAACAATACAAAAAGATCGACCACAACGCCCTCGCACTCCGGATGCCGTCGTGACGAAACCACAACTGTCGTCGATACCACTTCGCCCTTCTGCAAAAAAGTGGACTCGATGTCGCCTCCAATCCTCCTCCCACTCCACGTGAGGACGCGCTCCTCCCTGTCCGCCTGCGTCGACCGACCCTCCTCCACAAAACCGCGCAGGCAGAGAAGCAAAGGCAACCAATATGCCAAGAATCTCATGAAGACTCGCCCCCTTACAAGAACAGTATCCCCTTCATCCAGCGTGCTGGCCTGCAGCATCACCAGGTGAAGTGTGGAGCCGGAGATGGCACCTTTTGTGCTTTCAAAAGGCAGGCCACACCAAGTCACACCACGTCTTCTCTACCCTCCCGTTGTCAAGTCTCACGCCCACTGCCCCCATCCGCCCACCGCGTCGCCTAATCCGCCGTTAACTCCTGCATCGCGCCGTGTCCACTCCGACGACGTTCGTGCGGGGCGCAGCGCTCCCGGTCGCGCTGTGCCCATTTCACATTGGTTGCTGGTTGTTGTTGGCTTTGGTTGCAAACTAAATTCTCCAAATTGAATACAATTCGAATCCAAGTTTCAAACCAAGTACTTACTAAATTTTAAACTGGATATACTAATTTATCAAGAGAAAATAAACGATTAAAGACAACGAATCCAAATTCCAAGATCTATCAAACTAGAAGGAAGAGGAGACTCAAAGACTAAGAGCTGGGAGGGAGGAGTAGACATTAGGGTTACGCTTTACCTCGCTATCCAAAACGCTGTAAAGAGCCTTTGTTGCCTAGACGGGTTTCCCACCACGCACCCAATAGATACAACTCTAGTTTGCTCTTCACCGGGTCTCTCATATCATCCCTACCCTGTGAGTATCCCCCTAAACTACTGCAAATATAACCCAGCACTTAAGAATAACGAAAAACTGTAAATCTCAATCATATATGAAAACTCGATAGATGGTAACAGAGCCCAAGTATAGTTATGCCTGACACTTATTTTACCCTTCGCACCCGGGAAACGTTCCCACCGCCACGAGTGAGTCTCCCACTCCCGTTGATGGCGCCGCCACCCATCGGGCT